AAATATGAGAGATGCCCTCTCAAAAAAAAAAAAAAATTTAGGGACTTTTTTAAAAAGTGTGTTTATGAATCATCATCATTATGCTATGAAAACCAAGTGCTGCTGTATTTATTCAATAGATGGACTTAATAGGTTGACTAAAATCTTTAAGGTGCTCAGAGACAGGGTAGAAAGTTCTAGAACTGCAGTCCACTGCTTGCCCCTTCCCCAAAACTGGCCCAGACCAGGGGCCTCTTCAACATCATGCTCCACCCAAGTTTCACAGAGAATCCTTGTCTGTGACCAGCTGCAAGCCTAAGCCAGTCCCCATCTGCAAAAGTCCTGTGTCTGCACCTGATAGCATCCCTGTCATGGTGGCCTCCCTTTCCCCCACCCCCTGGATACAGTAGGCAACTGACCTTGTATGCCAACCCCCAAGGTCTTTAGGAGGCTGTGAGCAGGGGGCTGGGTGTCCAGGGGGAGCACTGCACAGAGAGTGGGTAACCAGGACTCGTTTCTCAAAAAACAACAAACGGACTCCACTCTCTTTCCTGCCCTACCAAATCAGACCCACTTACCACCTTTGCCCTCCTGCCAACTTTGCCCGAAGGGAAGATTTCACACTTTTTAACCCCTAAGAATGATGGTATCTTAGATCTGTTGACTTGGGCTCTGTCTGCTCCAGTGGGTCCATGAGGAGCCTACTTGGCTGAGAATGGTGGGAGAGGGGGCAGGCAGAGAGGAGGGCAGGGCACCCTCCACTCTCACCTCCTTTGTGTGGGTCTGCATCTACCAGAACCCCCTGCAGCAAGCAGCCCGGTCACAGTCCGGGCGCTAACGGATACGCTTGCATCTCAGTGAAGGTGCATGTGTGGCAGGGGCCCTGCCATCGCTGACGTTCCTGTGGGGTGGCCTCTGGGAGCTGTCACCTGGCTTTTGGGTGCCGGTGGTGGCGGCCTGGCTCTCAGGTGGCCTCTGAACTCCTTTGCTGGCCCAGTTTCACTTGTAGAGTTGCTCCCGAATCTGTGCTCAGTACCTGTTTCCTGGGCCTTGCTGCTGCTTCCAGCCGCCCCACGGATTCCTTTCTATGTAGACTCGCTGGAGTGGGTCCTGTTCTCTGCAGCTCAGCCCTGATGGCTACAAGGTGGGTGCACATTTTCTGGGAGACTTTCCTTCAATTTCATCAGCTCTCACTGGGGCTGTGACCCAAGGAAGCTTGCAGGCTCCCCCCGTTGTCATCCCCAGGGGTTGTTCTGGGTCAGGGCAGGTGTCCCAGAAGGTCTGAGGGGAGTCAAATCACGCTGAACTTGTGGTTTAAAGGAATGCTTCTAAAACGCTCTACTAATTTGTATTCTGCCCATCTGGCGTTTCAGATCCTGGGTCTAATTAGCACACTGTTCACCTGCAGCCATTTTCGCCCTTAATTCAATTAAAAAATTCAGTGACTTGTTTAATAAACTGTCAGTGGGTAAGCATTCACCAGATCCTATGCTAGGAGCTGGAGGGGCAGGTGCACTTGCCAAATCCCTGCCTGGGGGGCTCAGCCACCGCATGAGGAAGCAGACCATTGCTACACGGGGCTGTCATGGCTGCAAGGTGCACGTTCACCCGCTGGCGAGAGCGTACAGAGCACAGGAGACAAACACCCCAGAAAGCACCCTGGGAACGCCTACTGTGGCGGACTGCAAAAATGGCCACGAACTCTCCCAGTCTGTCAGGAGGCCGAGGCTATTTCTCCATCCCCTGGACGTGGGTTGGGGTAGGGGATGCATGACCAAGATCCTCACCGGACCCTGGCTGCTTGCCCACTGCGCACGTGCAATGCTCTCAGACGCGGACTGGCACACGTGTGAGCAATCCATTATTATTGACTCTGTATAAAGAGCTCCACCCAGGGCTCGGGCCTCGAGGCAGTGGAGAGGCCCGGAGGTGGAGACCTGCTTGCTGCACGCACACGCAGACTTGCCCAGAGGCACACGGAATTCTAGTGCTTGACCTGCTACCTCGAGGACAAAGCCAGGTATAAACCCTTTTACCCCAAGAACATTCCATTGTTGTTTTCTGGTCTCACTGAATCCAGAGTGAACTTGCCTGGGGCTGAAACCCTCAAGAAGGACAGTGGAACGATGGCAAACGTGACAGGCAGGGGCTTGACAAGCACTTGTCCTTGGAAATAGTGCAGCCGGCACTGGCACCGAGAGAACTGGTGGGCACGGCTGAGGTGGGGGACACAAGGCCTGGTAGCCCCCGTGAGCCCCGGCTGGCCAACAGCCAAATGCCAAACACGGGCATGACCCACCTGCCACCAGCCGACCACAGACAGTGCATGACCCTGGCAGAGACCCGCAGGACCACCCCGTGGACCTAGACCATGTGGCTGGGGCACTCAGTCGCAAGCTAATAAGTGACAGTTACTTTAGGCCACCAAGTTGTGGGGCCAGTGCACGTGCTCTGGGCCCAGATATCTATGTGGTCTCCAAGCAGAGCTACAGAAAAGATGGAATAGTCTCAGCTTCCAGGCAGCCAGACATCCCACTTGAAGCTGGCATTTGGAGTAGGGACCTAACCACATGGTGTTAGTTTTCTGGAACCTTCTCAGCATACAAGAGGCCAACAGTGGTGACAGCCCGAGCACTGTGTGGATGTGGCCATTTGCTGTAAAGAGCCCATCCGGGGCAGGCTGAAGGCAGCATGTCCGTCGTGGGCAAGGACCGGCTGCTGGAGAGGAGGTGGGGTGCTGGCGACAAGGGTCCCCCTTTGTCTCTCGGGTCGGTGGAGCCTGGAGGTGGGTAGATCTGAAGGACAGTGACTCCTCAGGAGGTGGACCCAGGTTTGAATTCCAGCCCTGCGCTCAGGACAAGTCCCACCACCTGTCAGAGCCTCTGTTTCCTTGCTGGCTACTCAGGCTGACGGCACAGCAGCCAGG